GAGATTTGAACCACTGAACTGCTGATCTAGCAGTAGCCTGCAGTGCTGCATTTAACCACTGCGCCACCTCGGCTCTTTCCTTCCTTCCTTCTATCTCTTCCTTCTATCTCTCCTTCCTTCCTTCCCCTACATTTCCTTCCTCCCTTCCTTCCCCTACATTTCCTCCCTCCCTCCTCCCTCCCTCCCTTCTTCTCCCTCTTCTTCCTCCCTTCCCTCCTCCCTTCCTCTCCTCCCTCCCTTCCTCATAGAAGTTGGGTATGCGGTAAGCGTTCTGCTTCCTGTTCTTTGCTGTTGCCATACCCATAAAAATGATATCCATTTCCACCATCCCTCCTCCCCCCCCCCCAACAAAAAGAATAATATTCAGCCTGCTAAATATATCAAATTGGGCTTAAGTCTCTTCTAACATGTTGGTTGCCAATTGCCCCAAATTTAAACCACACGACCGGGGAGGCCACAACTGATGTAAGTTCATGGACCAGCCACAACTCCCATTTTTTCCCACGTGCTCTTTTCAACTTCAAACAGGTCGCTAAACGGTGGTATGTCAAGGACAGCCTGTGCGTGTTTTCCTGAATTTTCGTCCGCTTTTCCTCAAATTGAGTTTCAATGTCAAGATCTCAACCATCACCCCACAGTCGTCTCAGTGGGGTTTGAAAACAGCCATACAAGATCGGGCCACGATGGATAAGGAATTATATTGTGCACTTTATTGATAACCAAGCACCCGGTCCGTACACAGATGTACACTATATACAAGCTAGTTTACATTTAGTGGTTAAGAAATATTGTACAAGAAAATAGAACTGGGGGAATGAACAAACTCTCATTTGCAATACCTGGCTGGGAGAAGAAGAAGAAATTGGCTGCACAGATGGAAAGCTGTACTGTCCCTTCTCTCACTACTGCTAAGACGGTTTCAAAAACAACACAACGTGTGTGTCGCAAACAATACGAGGGCATGATTGGTTGACAAAAGCACAATTTGGCCAGGATTACATCCTAAGCCCGTGAAGCCAACATTTCGGGCAGTTTAGGAACAAGTGTTCTTCAACCGTTGCTACTTTTTAAGAGACTTGTGGACTTCAATTCCCAGAATTCCTCAGCAGGCCAGCCATGCTGGCTAGGGAATTCTGGGAGTTGAAGTCCGCACCTCTTTAAAAGTCGCCATTGGCTCAACAGAATGGCCTCGGCTGTATCCCGCTCGATCACGGCCTCATTTTCAGCGGGCCACTAAATGTTGCCGAATTACGCCATGGAGGAGGGCCCTCGATTTGTGAACAATGGCTAGTCGGAAGCCAGCATTAAGCCTTCATCTGTCTGTCAAGGCTTTTTTCCAGCAAGCATACCTAGAAATATAGATACTATCTTTGCAAACGTGTCTTTTTTTTCCTAAAAGTATGAACTCTTCCAAATGCTCTGAACCTTAAATGTGTTTTTTTTAAATTTAGTACCACAAGTGGCGACCCACCTCGAAATCTTCAATTAAGCTTCCCAGCCCAAATTCCCTATTTAGTTTTGCACCCGTCAGGCCAGCTGAACCTAAAGTGCTATTGAATTCTCAAAAAACCTTTTGAAACCCCACCCCAAAAAACCCCCAAACTATAAAGTTCCCACCGTTGTTAGGACGCAAGGCAACCGAGGCAAAAGAGTGGCTGTCTGGACGACCACTAGATGGCAGCAGGGAACCAGCCAGCGGCAATGGTCATTCCAAGTTTTGTTGGCCACAAAGATGGCGCCAGGAGAAACGGCATTTCGCTTATCTTCTCGGCGTGGGGAGAGACGCGATGAAACCAGGAACATCAATAACTTTAAATCAGTATTTCTCAACATGGGCATCTTTTAAGATGTGTGAACTTCACCTCGGGTGAAATTCAGCAGGTTCTGACATGTTCTGGAGAACCGGTAGCAGAAATTTTGAGTAGTTCGGAGAACCGGCAAATATCACCTCTGGTTGGCCCAGAGTGGGGTGGGAATGGAGATTTTGCAGTATCCTTCCCCTGGAGTGGGGAGGGAATGGAGATTTTGCAGTAT